TATAGGAAATTGGTTCCTGGAGAAAATGGAGAACTAACAATAAATCCAGACCTTATTAATCAAACATTCCCTCTAACTAGACCTGATTGGAATCATAATACAGCAGAAGGTAAGGAGCGACTCCGCGTTTATTGCCAGACTCTATTGGGGGGTCTCCATGTGGCCGCTAAAAGGCCCACCAATTTGTCTAAGATAGGAAGTGTGCAACAGGAAAGAGATGAAAGCCCTTCCGCCTTTCTGGAAAGAATCCAAGAGGCCTTCCATAGATACACCCCTATGGATCCTGAGGCACCAGAATCTAGGCCAGCCATAGTAATGACTTTCATTAACCAGGCTTCTCCCAATATTAAAAGGAAACTTCAAAAGATAGAGAGACTAAATGAGAAAAATGTACAAGATCTGGTAGTCATTGCAGAAAAAGTCTACAATAATAGGGAACCAACTGAAGACTGCCAGACTTGTAAATTGGCTGAAATTTTATCAACAGCTATCATAAGGGAACCAAGAGAATATGCGCAGAGGTTCAAAAAACCAGCTGAGAGCCAAAATAAAAAAGAGCTCCAAAACCCACGTGTGCAAAACAACAACCTGAGCCATAAACTAGGCAGAGATCAATGTGCCTATTGTAGAGAAAAAGGCCATTGGGCTAGAGAGTGCCCTCAAAAACTCCAGACAAGAGCATCCATTTTGATGGAAAGCGAATAGGGGAGTCGGGGCTCAGAACCCCTCCCTGAGCCTAGGGTAACTCTCAAAGTGGAGGGGAAACCAATACAGTTTATGGTAGACACTGGAGCCCAACATTCAGTTCTGCTAAAACCATTAGGAAAAACTTCGGGAAAAACTTCATGGGTGCAAGGAGCTACTGGTATTAAAAAATATAAATGGACTACACAAAGGACAATAAATTTAAGCACTGGGCAGTACAACATTCTTTCATGGTGATCCCTGACTGCCCCTATCCATTATTAGGGAGAGACTTATTAACCAAATTAGGAGTTCAAATTCATTTCAAAGCAGAAGATGCCCAGGTGACTGATGAAACTGGGAATCCCATTCATGGATTGACTTGAAGATGAATATAGACTCTGTCCTACACTCGCGCCTGAATCCTATGTTCAGAAAGAGATTGCCTATTGGCTTGAAAGATTTCCTCAGGCTTGGGCGGAAACAGGAGGAATGGGATCAGCCAAACATAGGGCACCAATATTCATTGAAATTAAATCTGGTGCTGATCCCATTCGGGTCCATCAATATCCTATGCCATTTGCGGCCCGACAGGGGCTAATGCCCCATATCAGGAATCTATTGAAACAAGGGATATTACGATCCTGCCAATCAGACTGGAATACTCCCTTATTGCCTGTGAAGAAACCTAATTCGGATGATTATTGGCCAGTTCAGGATCTACAAGAGGTAAATAAAAGGGTAATTGATATACACCCTACTGTGCCTAATCCATATACTCTCCTAAGCTCATTGCCCCCTCTCTACCAATGGTATACAGTATTAGATTTGAAGGATTCTTTCTTCAGTCTTCCTTTAGCTCCCAAGAGTCAAATCATATTTGCCTTTGAGTGGCTGGACCCAGATGAAGGAATCAATGGACAATTAACCTGGACTAGGCTACCTCAAGGATTTAAAAACTCACCCACCATCTTTGACGAGGCCCTACATGAGGACCTGAGTGAGTATCGCCAGCAAAATCCTCTTTAACCTTGCTTCAATATGTAGATGATCTTCTTATTGCAACAGAATCAAAAGAAGATTTCTTGGAAGGGACCAAAAAGTTATTAAAAACCCTTGGAGATCTTGGATATCGAGTATCAGCCAAGAAAGCTCAAATATGTCAACCAGAGGTAAGCTATTTGGGCTATAAATTAAAAAAAGGACAAAGATGGCTATCAGAAGCCTGAAAAGAGACAGTGCTCAAAATCTCCCCTCCAAACTCTCCTCACAAAGTGAGAGAATTCCTAGGGACAGCTAGATTCTGTCACCTCTGGATTCTTGGGTTTGCGGAGCTAGCCAAACCCTTATATGCAATAAGCAATGACCAGCAAACTTTCCAATGGACAGAGACTTTACAAAAATCATTTGAGAATATCAAGGATGCACTATTAAGAGCACCAGCCTTGGGTCTACCAGATATAACTAAACCCTTCCATCTATATGTGGATGAGAGTCAAGGGATTGCCAAAGGAGTGTTAACTCAATATCTCGGCCCTTGGCGAAGACCAATAGCCTACTTGTCAAAAAAATTGGACCTGGTAGCATCTGGGCTCTCAGTCTGAAGCCGCTGTGACAGTGACACCTGAGGGTCCAGGCTTGAGCTTGCAATAAATTCCTCTTGCATTTGCATCAGACCTGACTCCTTGCTGGTCTTTGGGGACTTTGCAACTTGGGCACAACAGTGGGAGATTTGCAAACCACGTCCCACTTGGCTCTGGGAATAGTCCTGAAATGGACTCTGGATCTCAAGGTTTTTCCACACCAGCCTTTCAGACAAACAGAACAACATAGTTTTATTTTAAGGATCTTGCTGATTATTTCAGGAACTACTCATCATGTTCCCAATGAAAGGCAAGCTACCCAATGATGGTGGCAGCAGGTGGCCAGTCTGACCAGTAGATCAGTGCAGTTCCGTGATAATAGCTTGAATGGCTAGAAAAGTCTTCCTCAAATGAATCAAGAAAGAGCTTCCTTTTGTCCTTTGTGACTTATTGGTTTATTTCATATTTATTTGTTTTGTTTATGACTAAATGTTTCTATTTGTTTCTTGAAAAAATCAGTAAGATTGGTCCTGATAAATTAGAGCTTCCTAAGTTAGATGAAACAAATAATAACAGCTGACCATAAACCTGCAGAAGTGACCCTGATTAATGAATTTGCTAATGAATTTTTGTAACAGATTTACTGAAGACAAAATGTGCTGACAGCAAAAGCATCCAGTCCTCTCTGTCTCATGCGCCTGAACACTTAATAAATGTCTGATGGGCCCGATGACATGCAAGGATTGCCATGCTTAAAAATGCTCTTCTCCACCCTGGAAGGGACTGTGCTGTAGGAGGGAAATAAAGCACAGCTCCAGGCAAAGTAATGTGATACTCAGGCAGCTGGACTGAACTTAAATGTGACAGTAAAGCAAGGATGGGGACTTTGGCACAATGTTGTTACTCAGTCCTGAAAACATGGCCCTAGAGGCTCTCACTGGTGTGTTTTGTGGGCTTTGTACTCCCTGAGTCCCAAATGTTACTCCTCCAGCATGGAGCTCCCTACGTTGCCTATCCTATTTGCTGGATACTGGGACACTATAAAAGCACCTGCAGCCTCTTTTGTGCCCAAAATTTGTTCCCTACTTTTTGTCTCTCTTGAGACAATTCTGTACATAGAGCTACCTAGAGTTGCAGAAGCAGAGTCTGGGCAAAGGGCTCTAATGGCATAAGCAAAGCCATAAAAGCCTACAGGTGCTGGCCAGTGGGCCTTATCTAGCTGGGCTGATGATTCTGAGCAGCACCCAGGATTGCCTGATGGGATTTGCTCACAAATGTTTCTGAGGACACAGATGCTCAAAGATATTTCCCCCAAAGATTGTGAATTGTGTGTATGAAGGCTAAACTACAAAGACGTTCTCTACCAGTGGGAGTTACTGCAACAACAACAACAAAAAATAGGTAAATAGATTGATGGATTGATAGATAATGATGATCATAGATAGATAGATAGGTAGACAGACAGACAGACAGAGAGAAAACTGAAGCACCTTTGAAGGTCTACTGACTGAGAAAAATAATTTAACCAACCTATTTGCATACAGAAAATCTATTGATACTGTTATCCTTAATTACAGAGATGAAATAGACAATACATTCTTTTATGCACCATTAAATTCTTTTGCCTACTGTAGAAGAAAAATGTACAGCATACAACAAATTAGTAAAAGTACAATATGAATAGTTAAATCTATCTTGTCTGAATATTTGTTGTAAAAGTGTGTTAAAATTTAGCCTTTCAGGGAGTAAACAACTTGAGTTATCACTGGAGAAATTCTTGACTTTTGGTTTAAGCACACACTCAGTTCTCATTTGTCAAATCTATTTTCATCTGTTTAAGAATTTTAAAAAGAGTATCTCTGTGTACTTTCATGGTTCTAAATGTCAATTATCTTGGTGAATTTGAAATAAATCTCTCAAGCCAAGTTTAAATCATGCAGGAGGTTAAAATACATCATTTGACCCTCACAGCAATAATGTTAAGATTTCAGAAGGGAAATCCAATTATTCTATGCAAGGAAGAAATGGTACCTCTTTGGAAAAAATAATTCAGAAATTTTAGGATGTGATTGAAAAATTTTAAAAAGCAAAGCTTTTTCAAAGTTTTAGATTGCCAACCTCCTAGCTAGGATATTGGTTTTCTGCAAGCTCACAATTTTGCTGATGACAGATTTATATTGGGCACAGTATAAGAAAAAAACTTGTAAATTCTCATTCATATTATGCCATAAGGACACAAAAAGGTTTACCTTTATTTTTCCTTCTATCATTACTCATAGTCTATGTTTAAAAAAACATTGTAGATACAAAATATGAAAATGAACTGTGGCGCTTTCATTAAGGCAATATAAATGAGAAAAGTTTAAATACAAAATGAGAGAAATGTACACTTTAACATTTTCACAGAACCATTAATTCCCCCTGTACATTGGAAATCGCACCACCCGTTAAGCTTTTATATGTACTTTTTTTAGCAAGCAAGAAAAGGTTGAATATATTCATGTTCTGCTAATAACCTTAACTTTTTTCTCTTCCAAATTATGTTCTTTTGATTCTAATCTGAAAACTGCATCAATATTAGTCATTAGAGTTAATGAAAAATAGTCCCACTGTTATTTCATAACTAAAAAGGTTTAGGTGATACAATTTCACTCACATGTATTTTACTGCCCAACACTGTTACTAGTCAAAGGATTTTACTATCTGCTGACATCTATAATGCTGTCATTTCAGATGCCTCAAACAGCTTCCTACTTTACCTCCAAAGGATGTGGTATAAAATGAATCAAATAAAGTCTACCAATCCCTGAGTCTCTTAAGAAGAAACCATCAGAGACTCTAGGAACGACATCTTCAAACAGGATACCCTCAGGCTTGATTTCTAAGCCAAGGGCAGATGCTCAACTTCAGACTTTGAAACTGTTTCTAGAAGAGAATCCTAAGAACTGGAGAGGTAGCAGGCAAGGTGTGTGGCGTGGAATGGAAATGGAGGAGAGGGGAATGGCTAGGCAGGCTACGGTTCTCTCCACTAACCAAACTATTTTTGACAAGGATAGGCGGGAAGACAAATATTCAGCTCAGCCTGGGATTCCTGTTCTTTCACAGAAGTCAAAGGGCATCCTGGAAATACGGCCTGTCCATGGCCAAGAGATCACACGAGAGACAACAAAGCTGCACCCTTTGACCAGGCCATTTTAGCCTCTGCTTCCTCCAGGCTGGTTGAAAACCAGATAGAAAAAAACTAGAATAAAGATGAAAGATAATTTTTTTTTCTCTTTTGTTTGGACAACACAATGTCACTGGTGGCCTGCCATGGGTGACTGATAGTAAATAAAGGAAATATCTCCAAGATAGGTTTAAGGCTGACTCTTGTTCTCTCTCCATTTCTGTATCCACTGTCCATTAATCCCTGCCCAAGGGATCTCATAAAGAAGCATTAGTAATGCAGGGTTTCTCATAGAATTTGATATATTTTAAGGGCACAGTCCACTTTCTAAAATCCTTTGGCATCCACATTTCTATCTTTAAAGTCACCCATCCTCAAAAACATGTATGCATACGCTCTTGTTTACACACACACACACCCTCTGGAGAATTTAACGGGAGCACCTCATTCTAAGGATGGATAGTAGGGTCCTTGCTGCACTGGGGATATGGTGGACCAACTAGGGCAAGTTTTATCTTTCTACAGTTCTTTATGTTATGAAAACTTCACCCTAAACATGTCCCTATCTTAAGAGCCAGTATTCAAAGTCTTTGTTTCAAACACAATCACACCCAATATTCATCCTTGGAAATCTCTATACACATTTCTTTACCCTAAACAGGCTTTTGTTGTGGTGTTGTTGTTGTTCGTGGTGGTGTAACAAAGACTGGTTCTTTGAAATGATTTTATACCAGAAAAGAAAAAAAAACCCAGACCAAATCACACACTCATAGCTAACAACTGTTTCCCACATTAATGGAGAGAGACTGGTGGTTGGTGGAAAATCTACCAACTTACCTTTGTTTTCAATCAGCTCATATTGTAAACAGGAAGACAATCTAGTCTCTGGGTTGGTCTAACTCACCTGCCTGATCTCACCACTCATTAGAAACTGCGAGGCACACTGAAGATCACCCTCCCTGAGAGAGGGAACATTAATTACCCTTTGATTAAAGGTTTGTAAGTACGCTATCTCCCATTTATAAACCTCCCAATAATTTGTAAACTGAGGTAATGTAATCTGCTAAACTTTGACATTGAGGTTTACTCTTCCCTAGTCAAAGACTCCTTTGCACCAGGCAAACAAAGTACCTATAGATAAACCACCAAATCAGTTATTCAGGGGTCACAGATTAAAGCAAAGGCTTTTTAATCACATTCTGAGATTTTATGAGAGATTTTCATAGGGAGATTTTCCATCCTAAATTTTGGGAGAATGCAAATTTTTACATATTTAAATGTACTCATATTTTTCCATTTTTCACTTTTCTTCCGATTGATACACAAAACAAAACAAGTAGTGACACTAACAAAACAAGAGCTAAATTTAGACCAGACCTAGGCTTGTTCTGTGTTATTTTTTAACAGCAAAATAGCCCACATCCTTCCATTCAAATGAGAGAGGATGGGCCATCATTCAAGCCTCATCTTGCTGTCAGCACCTCTATGAATGGATAATGTTTGGTTAACCAGCATAACATGAATACATAAAATGTGAAATGAAACTCACATTCTGTCTCCACTAGAAAACTTGCTCATTTATCCCACAAATACTGATTAAGCACTATCTATATGAACTCTTCTAGGTGCTGGGAGCTCATCAGTAAACAAAACAACACTAAACAAGGCTTTCCCCTTACCATTGTGTCATTTACTTTCTAGTGAGATTCTACAACACAAATTTCTAGAGTTTCAGAGTGAATATTCCAATTTTCTTAAAGTTTTACCTTTCTATATAAAAAGGATGGAGATGGTAAAGATTCTAAGCTAGGCTAGGGGAAGAAAAAATTATCTATTGATAAAACATTTATTATAAGAGGAAAGACAGCCAGTAGGCAGTTTTCTCCTGATTGGGAGAAAAGGAAGGAGGGCTTGGTAGCAGCCAACCCTCCTTGGGAAGGAGAAACTACTATATTCTGTAAATTATTAAATGCCAATAAAATCCATTGCCCAGTCTCACATTATCTCTTGTTTGTAAAAGCTACCTCATAACTGGGCAAGCCCCTAGAGACAAAAGTTGGAGGAGAGCAGTGACTTACAACACAGTAGACACATTTCCCACTAATAGGAAGTTTATCTATTACCATGATCAGTCATGATTATGGGATTGGATCTTATAGAATTATTGCTATAGTTTGGATATTGTTTATCCTCCAAAGGTTATGCATTGAAAGCTTGGTTCCCAGGGTAGCAATATTAGAAGGTCGTGTAGATCTCTTAAGAAGTGGGGGTTAGATCAGTAAGGGACATGACCTGGGAAGGGACCCGAGGGCCAATCTCTCTGCCTCCCTTTTTGATAACGCGATTTCTTTCTTCTCGTGCACTCTCATCACTGTTATCTGCCATGGTGTGAAAAGTGGAAAGGGTCTTCACCAGAACTGAGCTGATACAGATACCATGTGCTTGATCTTCCAGAAATAGGTGATAACAAAACCTCTTTTCTTCGTAAGTATTCCACTTCAAGCATTGTGTTGTAAAAAGTGAAAATCTGACTCACACATCTATGTTGCCAACACTCATGTCAAAGTAGCACAAGCCACCTGTGGCTTGAAGTCTACAGCCACGCTGCCCTTACCATGACTGAGATGTGGAGGATCCTGAGCTCCTCTTCTGCTGACTCGTGCTGGGGTTCTTCGGTTGGGTCTTGTCCAGGGAGACTCGGAGCACCATCTTGGTGATGGATGTGAAAAAGTAAAGTGCCATTCTCCAGCCACTGCTGCCTCCAACGTACTAGAGGGATATCCTCCGTGTTCCCTGAGATCTCTAGAGGATAAATGCCAAAGGCACAGGTGAGAACTTGGACTGGACCAGGTTTTCGTCTTTCTATCCACTGGTACCAAGTAACCCATTCTATCTGAAGGCAGTGGAAAATTCCAACTCTGTCAGACTTACTATGTCAAACTTCAAGGAGGGAAGGAGACCTCAAGAAGAAGAAAACTATCCTCCCAAAAACTCTTTACACCATCAACCTAGTGAGTCAGGCTCTCACCCACTGAGAAAAATACCAAGGTGAAAATTCAAGTTCTTCCCCTAGTACTATGATCGATAGCATCTTTACGTGGCACAGTTTGAATACCTGATAACCCCCTGAGGTAAATACAAGGTTGTTTGGCTCTTGTAAATTTAAAAGTGTGAGCTCCCAGCAATTACTCCTAGACACACCAGTGCAGCTACCAAGGAGAGAGTTGGTAACTACTGTGCAGAGAAATTGCATTTATGGAATAGTCCTGAGAGGCTACTGCAGAGCTATCCAGGCTGGCAGGCTATTTCTAAAACCACAGTCATTTGCTGCACAGTCCACTAAAGATGTCTGATAATTTGTTATGACAAGTAACGCTTTAATTCCCTTAAACTTTTCTTCTCATCTTTGTAGAGCACAGGTGATGTGCATGAAGATGGTGGTGAAATTGAGCCCTTGTCAGTGATAGAAACACTCATTTGCCTCTCAAAAATCTAAATCAAAGCACTGGACCACCATCAGTAACAAAATTCCAAAGACCCACTCTGCTCTCCACACTATTGTTAGAACTAAAGGGGTATTGTAGAAACACGCTGTGTACAGATCACTCTCTTATATTCCCAGGCAATAGCACAGCTTTGAGACATCCCGCAGTAAAGAGACCTGATTACAGAAGACTTTCCTGAACTTCATTCAGACCCCAGACTACTTTTTCTTTAACAACTATTACCGGAACAGGGGACTAGTATTTTTCTAAACACATGTTAACAAACCACTGCTTTACAAAATTTCATTTTTTAAGAAGCATAGCTTCTTCTTTCAAAATTTATCACCTTTGACCAAAAAAACCCATAGACATAAAAAAGATTTAATAGACACACTTAGAATGTATCTTCATCAAGTATCACAACCGTAAAGAGGAAAGCAATTTTAGATATTTATGGAGTTTATAACTATCTTCCACTGTATGTGGAAGTGCACAAATAATGTTATTTATTTATTTACCCATTCACTGACTTAATAGACACACACTGGGCAATTATTCTGCCCAGGCACTGTGCTAGACACTAAGGTACTAAATAAAAATGAGGCCTTCCACAAGGTCTCCACCTGTCTGAAAGGGGCAAGTGTCACACCAGGTAGGTAATGAGGTTTTGTGAGAGCACAGCAAGCATGAGTGATGTTTCCCATGTAGGAGATCTAAAAAGGATGGAAAGTAGTCTTCTCGCAGGAAGATGACACTGGTGCTAGTCCTGGGGAAGGGTGAATGCAATTCCTTTCAACATGGAGAAGGAGGGAAATGATTATCCTGCACTGATTGAAGGAGGACAGGGAAGAGGATCAGCTGGTCCTCTCTGGGCAAATCACTGAGAAAGTTCTGTCTGAGCCACAGCTCACCAGTCCATCCCTGAGAGCCACTGGTGGGACTGCCTGCCCAATCCTAGGCGCATGCACCAGGGAGAAGAGTAAAACACAGGGAGAGGAATTGCAAATACAGGGTGATCTCCATTGCTCTGCTTCACACTTAGCTCCTCTCCACCACTGCCTGGAGGACTCCATCGTCCCAATGGGTTAGGGTGCAGTCCACGGCATAGGACAGGACTTGTGTGAACATTTAGGAAGCTGCAGTGGGCAGGAGTCAGGATGAAGGATCTCCTGTCCCTCAGTCCTGGTTTTCCGCAGGCGTAGACCCTTCTTCATGAGATAGTGACACACATTTCCTGAGCTTGCCTTTCCCCTAAGGAGGCTTTCCAGTCTTGCAGGTGAGGAGAAACCCTTGGGTGCATCTGGGAGGCTGCACGCTTCAAGCAGCAGTGTCCACACACCTCTTACCTGCAGTCCCTACAATCACTAACCTGCTAGGGCACAGGGGCACTTACCCTTCCAACTAGTCCTCTTTCACACCAAAGCACCAGGTGACTCCTGAGAAGCACACCCTCTCCACAAAGTTCCTATTGTGCCACTGCAGTAAAAACCAAACTCAGTCTCCTTCCTAATACAGACATAAAAATCATAAGTAGTTTGGCTTCAATGAGAGCAACTAATGATGCAGTCAATTCACCCAGAGTAACACACACCCAATCTCCTAGTGCACTGGCTCCCACCCATCCCAGGGTTT